ACAATTTCCTGATTCACATATTTTATAAAACACCTGAACTGACTGTTATTTTCTTTCTTATTTTCAGCCAGGCGATGGGTAACGATGATGAGACAACGTCATCATTTGAGAAAAAATCAAGAAGCGCAGTGAACTGGTGAAAGAAAAGTGAAATGGCGTGCTCAAAGATGACCTTTAAGTATGTTTGGCTCAACCTGCTGCTGTGAAGCACCATGAACAGAATCAAAAATAAATCTGGATCCAGGCTCAAAATGAGCTCCTTGATATAGATCAGATTAGATTAGATGAGCTTTATTAATCTCACAGCAGAGAAATTCACTGGTCACATATTGGCATAGTAATTAAAGATGGTGCAAACAAGGAGGAAAAAGGTGCATTAAGAATAAACAATATATATACAGTATATCAAGATAAATAAGGATTAAGGTGCAAGTGTACATGTATCACACACAATGAAAAACAAAATAAAAATAAGAAATCAAAAGCTAAAAAATACAAGGGAGTAACACAGAGATTTGAGGTATCATATGTACAATCAGGATGGCTTATAAACAGGTGGATTGACTTTTACATTAAAGTGTAGTCGGTGCGGAGCAACGGTGAGGTAGTGGTATGACTATTATATTCACTTACATTGCACAGTCAGCATATTGCACAGAATATATGCTTGAGAATGGCTTTGTCTCCAGTCTAAAGCCCACTGCTCTCATTAAGCCAGAAAAAAGGAAAAAAAAAAAAACAATACCAAGCTGTCAGTTCAGGTGTTTTAAAAAATATGTGAATCAGGAAATTGTCTATATACCAAACTGAACGATTGTTGTTCTCTACTTCAAAACAACACTTTAGATTTTAAAATGGAATTTTTCTTTTTTTATTATGTATACTTTTACTTAAAAATTCAATGTATATCATGGATGCATAAAAACCTCATTTTATTTCAGCGTTAAATTCTGTTCAAAGTAACAAATCATTAAAAATGTCTCTGGACCTTTACTGGTTGATGATTTTCTTTATTCGGACCCGCTTATTGTTAAATTGGTGACCCCTGAGCTTATAACCAGGCTTAAATTAGGGCTCAGCAAACAGCAAATATGCCATTTTTAACCCTAACCAATGTTACACACCCTATTTAGAGACCTTAAGGACCAGATACCNTCTTCTGCTTCTTTCCCATCGCCCGGCTTCCCACAGGTTTGCCTGCTGTGTCTAAAAGTAGCAGCAGCAGCAACATAGACTGACAGCTCATTGGCTGATTTGGATCACATGCAGCCTGGAGCCGGACGCTCTGGACGGCTTTACCGTATTAAACGGAGAAGCGGCACAAGTGACGTTAGACACTGTCGACCGACAACATGCAGTAATTTATAAATGTTTTAAATCAAGTTGGATCCAGGTTAGCCAGCAGGTGGGTCCAGATCCGGACCCCTGGACGCTAATTCGTGACCTCTGGCTTAGAGCGGTGTGCTTGTGGTTGCAAGTACCAGGGTCGATAAGCTGTGCTGCTGCCATCAACACCTTTGTTAATAGATGTTGGAGATCTGCTTGTTTTCAGTGTAGTCCTGTTTCTCTGACTGTGACTGGCCGGAACTGGACCCAACCTGATTTAAAACATTCATTGCATGTTGTCCGACGGCAAAGTCTGATTTTACTTGCGCTGCTTCTCCTGTTTCTACGATCAAACTCTCTGGGACCAGGCTACACGTGATACAAATTAGCCAATGAGCTGCGTTAGTCAGGGCTGCTGCCGCTAGCTAGTTATAGACACAGCAGGCAAACCTGTGACAAGCTGGGCGATGGGTAACGATGATGAGAAAACGTTAAAGAAAGTGTGGACTGCTGGACAAACTGTGGTGAACTTGTGACAGAAAAGTGAAATGGCGTGCTCAAAGATGACCCTGCACATTTAGAGGATGTTTGGCTCAACCTGCTGCTGTGAAGCAGGATTCTCCACCATGAACAGAATCAAAAATAAATCTGGATCCAGGCTCAAAATGAGCACCTTGATATGTGCTTGAGAATGGCTTAGTCTCCATTTAAACCCAGGTTTAAAGCCTTGCAGGGCAGCCTAAAGCCCACTGCCAACATTAAGGCAGAAAAAAGAAAGAAAAAAAAACAATAACAAACGGTCAGTTCAGGTGTTTTAAAAAATATGTTAATCAGGAAATTGTCTATATACCAAACTGAACGATTGTTGTTCTCTACTTCAAAACAACACTTTAGATTTTAAAATGGAATTTTTTCTTTTTTTATTATACTTTTACTTAAAAATTCAATGTAGGCCTATATCATGGATGAATAAAAACCTCATTTTATTTCAGCATTAAATTCTGTTCAAAGTAACAAATCATTAAACATGTCTCTGGACCTTTACTGTTTGATGATTTTCTTTATTCAGACCCGCTGAATGTTAAATTGGTGACCCCTGAGCTTATAACCAGGCTTAAATTAGGGCTCAGCAAACAGCAAATATGCCATTTTTAACCCTAACCAATGTTACACA